GAATAAGTTAACAGAACGATGGGCGAAACGTCAGCAAGTTCGATTGGTAAACGGGATGTAACTATACTCTATAATCTACAATAAATTTAACTAAACTTATTATAAATTAAAATAGAAAAAAATTGCAAAACAGGTGAATACTTTCAAAGGTAATACTTATTTTTCATTGGATTTTGCTTCTAAGAGGAGGAAAAATTTCATATTCAATGAGTGAAACTACAATTAACCAAAGCATAATTATACAAAAGAAAGACATTCCCATCTACCAAGTGTCCAGGGAGTTACACAATGTTGTGAAGAAAATGTATGGGTCCGAAAATTTTGAGATAAAATTTAAAAAATGTTTTGAATTTTTGTTCATCTATTACAAGCGGAGTGGGGAAGAACCTTATCTTTTATCCCAAAAGTCTTACAGCACTTCGTCAAAAATATTTTTGAAATTGTTCACTCAGGGAAAACTCTGGCTGTGCATACTCGAAAATGAAAATATTTCGCCTATTAGGACTGATAAAGCCAGAAACTCAAGTGTTGACTAATTGAAGTAGACCTCTAAAAACATAACCTTTATAAATAATGTAATTTTAGTGTCCACTTTAAAAGTCGACTCCTAGGTTAGCTGCACTTACAGCTAACTGACGTTTTCTAACTGAACTGAAACTCGTCTAGAGCATATTATTCCAGCCGCCGAAAATCAGTAGGTATAGTAACTGTTCCGCTGTTTTCTCATTCTGCACTGTAGGTGTGAAGTATATTATGATGTACCCAATTCCACTCCTACCATAGCTATCTCCGAAACACTTTTCAAAGTGTCAAAAACTACCACGAAGCTATAAAAATATGTGCCAAAATCAAATGCTTATTTTGTATAATGACCTTTACATTAATATTTGGGGTAAAATATATGCCAATTAAAAGCACAAAAAATCTGTATGGCGTTTCTGGCGCTTAAAAAATGAAACGTACGAGATTTTATTTTCAACCATAATTGTTAAGAACGTTAAAAAATTTCCAATGACAATGTATTTGTAGATTTTTTTCTAAACTTTGTATTTCCATAAGCAGCAAAGCTAATTCAAAATTTTAGACATAATATTAAAAACTATTAACAAATCTTCTGGATTTCTTCTGCGTTAACTGTTAATGAATCGCTTGCTTGCGCTTGGCCAATCATCTGCTTCATCAGAGCTTAACTGAAACTGCCGCGCATTCTACTCGGCACCAGCCTATAAGAGTATCTTTTTATGGAGAGCAGCTAAGGGAGGGACATGTTTATTATCTCGGATGGCTAATGACGTTACCCCAATATGGGAATCAGTCGCTAGAGACAATGTTCATCCCCGTCCATTAGCTCCGTCGACTTCAAACAGTATATAACCAGGTATAGAGAAGAATGAAAGTCAGTTTCAGATTAGGTCTGAAGAGGCCAATAGAATGATTGACAAAACGTCAGTAAGTTCGATTCAACGACAATCGAGGCAGGAGGTGCAAGTTTATTTAAAGAATATTAAAAATATTATGCAGAGAAATTAAATGAAATGGTTTATTATCATTAGCTATTACGCACAAACATGCCTGTAATAATGTGTAGTGAATTACATTTATATAGTGTAGTGAATTACATTTATATAAAAGCAAAAGCTAATTCACACTAATATTAATATACCATTACCATTTTTTGGAAGCTTTTTACATTCGGTAAATTTCTGGTGTCTGTCGGTAGAGCATTGAACAATCGAAACCTACCACTAAAAAGGTTTTTTTGCATTTGTAGAGTTTTAACAAACTGAATATCAAAATAATTTTTACCCCTAACATTATAAGAATGTGCGACCTAGGAATTAAATAATCTTGTAAGTTGGATGGAAGCAATTTATTTTTTATTTTATATATCAGCAAAAGATTAGAGAACTCAATACTCTGAGACACCAACAACCACCCTAAAGCCCACGCATTGCACGAATGGTAGTCTAACATGTACAACTCATAATAGCCCGCATGGATTTATTTTGTAGCACTTGTATTCTATGAACATCACTGTTTCTTCAAGAAATCAAAAGCGAATTACAATACCAAAAATGAGGGCTGATCATCGCATTAAAAACAAGACTTCTGCTCCAGTGGCTAAGCTCAGGCGAAAGTCTACCCAAGAAACCTATCTTTTCTTCCAATTTTCTTACAAATATAATCTACATTTCCTATTAACCCACCATCAATATAAATCTTAAAATTATTACCTAAAAATACATTACCATTTTGTTTACTCCCAAATACCATATATGCTGTTTTACTTAAATTTCACTTAAGTTTATTTACGCACAACCAGTCACTAAGTAACCTTAATTCCGAGTTCATATTGTCTACCACTTCCAAGTAATTTTTCCCTGAAATTGATGGCAAAGTGTCATCCCCGAAAAGGTCGACAAAACAATTTTTCAAAATTTTGTATAAATCGTTCACATATAGAATAAAAAGCAAAGGTCCTAGTACACTGCCCTGGGCATACCTATATTGTTTTCTAACTTATCAGACACCACGTTATTAATCCATGTCACATCGAATCTGTCACATAGATAAGCAACTATTCACACAAGCACATTCCCTCTTATCCCATATGCAGTTTATCCACCAAACGTCCTCTAACAATGGTCTCAAAGGCTCTTTGAAGATCAATGAACACAGTTAAAACTATATTACTGTCATGAATGTCAGACCTCCATTCCGTGCACACATATTGTAAACACGATTCACACGAGTACTTCTCCCGAAACTCAGACTGCCCTTTAAAGATTAGTTTATTTTTTCCAGCAAGTTACGCAGCTGCTTTGACACATTTGTTTCTAAAAGTTTGTCTATAACCGATATTCTTCAGGTTTACTAGGAACTAGAACTTGGGGTATAGGTACAATAACGCTTGTCGTGATCTCTTAGGGAATTTTTCCTGTCTTAAGTGAAGTATTTATTAAATACAACAATGGATATCCGATTGCACAAAAAATATTTTTCAAAAAGTTTACATCGCATATGCTGTTGATTTATTTTTCAAAAATTTCATTTACAATACTTCTTAGTTCATTTATAATCAGCGTTTGAAGGCACCTTAAGGTTTTCCGTACTAATTTCCTTAAGATTAGTTTGTATATGTGGAATACTTGCAGCAATATCAAGAATGCTTTTTGCATAGAATAAGAAAGAAAACAGAAGCGGTATCTACCATGAAGGAACTCTTACTACGACCAATAATGCAGGGAAAAATTCAGCGACGAAGTGTAGAAGGAAATAAAAATTCATGATTGCCAACCTACTGGACGATTTTGAAGAAACATTGTCTGCCGCATTTAAAGACAAGTGACCAAAAATAGCGCAATACTTTTGATTACAGCAGTGCATTTTCCTTTAATCATGATATAATGCTAAATAGATTCATAAACATTTAAAGCGTGAAAGGATCGCTACATTACTATTCAGCGATCGTGGTAGATGAACCGAACTGGGACTTATTGTAGCGAATGCAACTACAATGTTTACTTCTCACCTAAACGTAAGACATTTTACTTTGGTTGGTTTACAAGAAACTGTAGATGCTGCACATACATAATTATTTTTACACCTCAACAGGAAAAGATCATTGCAAATGTCAGCAAGGCAGTAGATAAAATGATAACGCTGTAGGTCTATGGTAATACAAATCTCTCACTTTAACAATGAATTACACTAAAAGATCAGTATAAAAACAAACACTGAATATACAATTCACATCGGTGGACTACGACACTATTCCTTATTACAGAAATCATTGTTCAGATATTTATCGAGGTAATAAATTCCGTTTTTTGAGGTATGACGAATTTCAAAGTCTGGTAACGTTTAGCTTTGAGTCCATCAGGTAGCACAATAAAGAATTTAATAGGATATTATGAGATCCAAACTACAACAATGAGAACGATATGATTGGAGCTCCGGAGGAGGAAACCATAAGACCAAACCATAATAATCAAAAGCTTTGGTTAAATCAAATAATTAAGCCTCTTTTATTATCGAAGCAAGTCTGATGTAATAAGTAAAAAAAATATCACGTGCGTTGTAGACTAATTGCTCCGAAAACCAAATTTAAGGGGATTAAATATGGTATTTTCTTCAAAATTGCTTTTTCAAGAAGCGTATCAAAGGTTTTTGGCAAAAAGGGTCTATTGCTTCGGTAGTTCATTTAGTGGACCCTTCTTAAACACTGGAATTATTTGTTTTACCTCAGAAATTTATGATCTTGTACAGTAAAGAGATAATAAGACTTTTATAGCGTTTATAATTTCAAGGTTTATATTGTCAAAATGTCTAATCTAAACATTTTTCAATTGTGTCTTGGTTAACTATGGTCGAACTCTGCCGAAAAATTATCCAAAACTGTTAGAAGCATCGTTAGCTCTCGTTGGGATATTTATTTAAGTTATCCAAAATATACGTTTGGAGGCTATTCTAGTTTTTTTAGATTTAAGAACTATATCTTTTAGTACTACAGAAATTGGTCGATGAACTGACAAATTTCACATCAAGCTCCAAATCATACTTATTTAAAAACTAACTGAAACATTAGTCAAACCAGAATCATAGCGGGTATTATCAAGATTTGTTTCTTCCAAGTCATAGAAGATATCAGATATTCCAGCAACATAGCCCCAGAACCACACTCCTACACTTTATGAAATGAACATTTAAGTCACTGTGTTGTGTTGTGTTTTTTATATGGAGTAATGCATTTGTTTTTTTTTTAAGAAAACATTGAATGCGTCCATAGGAGATAGTAACATAACAAAGAAGGTCAAAAACAATCAGCTTCACTCATGTTTCAATCAGAATTGTAGGTTATAGTTTTGTTTTAAAAATTTCTGTCTTTACTTCACACATTAATGTTGCATAAAGTACGCAGTATGTCAACTTGTTGCCCTAGGTGCAATCGTAAATGGAATCCCATCAAAGTAATCAAAAAGAACCAAATGTTGACCTACCGTAAATGAACAGGGTTACCAAAAGCAAACAGCACGTCCCCCCTCTCATGATCGAGTCAGTCACGATATCGTCATTAATAATTGTTAACAACTAATAAAGACATTCGTAATGTCACCACCATCCGCGTCACGTGTGCGTAACAGCAAAACAGCGAGCTGCGAGACCAGTGCCTATCGCCGAGTTCAAACGCGAACTGGCGTCTTTTCCTCGGTGTATTATTTCCGGCGTCGCGACGACTTGGGAAGCGGCGCCGCCTATTGGTCGACGCCGGTCGCAACGCCCAATGGCAACTACGGCCGGCGCGCAAGTTTCAGTCCACGGAATTTTGTTTTGATATATTCTCAAATTCAGGCCGCTTTTTATTTTCTTTTTCTGTCGGAAAGGCTCTACGACGCGAAAAGATTGATTGTTCATCTTTTCTGGACCATTGGTAAACAAGGTTTTTTTTGCAAAACGTATGAAGGCGTACCATTTTTTTTTTTAACGAATTATTGCAGTTCTCAAAATCAAGTATACATTAAGATACAACACATCACCAGGCGCAAAGTTACTGTAAGAACTATATGGATGTATACAGCTAGCAGACGATTAGTTCTGATGCTTCATAGAGCACGTTTTACGTCGTAACTAGCATTAGAATGTCACCCTGCCTTTGTTGACGCGTCAGTTGACAATGTGGTGTCCTTACTATTTACAAAACTTCTGGATTCGTCCTGTGCCGGTTGTTGTTGAATTGAACTTGCTGACGCTTCGCCAATGATGCTTTTGGTTTCTTTTTCTCTGTTTTTAATATATCTGAAATAATGTTGAGAGCTTCAGGAATAGGCCCTTTAGTAAAGAGTGATTCTACGTCGAAACTAACCAGAATATCCTGTCTATCGAATGTTATGTTTTTTAATTGTTCAATGAAATAAGAAGTATTAAGTACGCAGCTATCGGTTTTCCCTGAAAAGCGTTAAAATCACGGAAACGCTAGGTTAATGATACTTTTGTTATTTGGCCTCATGCCGTTTAAACTCTATACACCATAACATACGTTTTATCATTGAATTAGAAATTAACAAAAATCTCCCATTCTTAGATATACTTATCAACAGAAAATCAGACCCAACATTGGGTCTTTCTGTTTATAAGCTCTGTAGAAGTCAATAGGATGATTGGCGAAACTTCAGCAAGTTTAATTCAACAACCGACGCAGCAGGAATCCAGAAGTTGTGGTAAATATTCAAACAGTGCATTATCATATCATAATCAGCTGCCATAAATCATGGGTTATTAACTTTCTTGTTTACAGAGCCGTAAAACTATCGCAGCCCGAGTTACTGAACCCAGAATTAAAATACCTCTTCTCTCTAATAACTTTCGCATATGTGGCACTGGATAGACCGGAAGAAAAATATCTAGGAATTAGCAACTGCGTTCGCCAGACATTACATCGGTTGATGCCCAGATTTGGGGAGCTATTAAAGAGAGAGTTTACAATAGGAGATTTAGAACTTCGTGTCAAACAGGCTTTTCAGCAACTGTTGGTTTCTTCAGAGCTTGACTGAAACTTGCTCGCATTTTGTACCTGCTTATACATTGTTTGAGGGAGACGGAGCTAAATGAAGGGCATAAACACCGTCTCCCATATTGGTAAATACTTGAGTGGCGGTTAAGATTGTTAGATTACTTATAGATTTCTATAAACTCTCGAATTTTTCGTTGTTAGAAGAATTATTAGATTAGATTACATGCAAGAATTTTTGTTTTATCGAATAAAATTTTATGTCCGGTTTCGTGATTGTGTTTGGCAACTGCCGATGAGTTTATTTGTCGTCAAAACCAGATTTACCACTTCTATGCATATGCCGCAAAGTATACAGTGGAGACAAAACAGGATATAAAATTTTATTCGATTAAACTAAAATTCTTGCATGTAATCAATTCTTCTACCAACCAAAAATCAGTGAATCTATAGAAATCTATAAGCAATCAAACAATCTTAATCGCGGTTCGGGTCTTTACCAGTCTCCAATATGGGAATCAGTCATCCGAGACAATGTTAATGCCCCTCCTTTAGCTCCTCCAACAATATATAAACAGGTACAGAAATGCGAGCCAGTTTCAATTAAGGTCTGTCTGGCGAAACTTCAGCAAATTCAATTCAACAGCAACAGGAATCTAGAAGTTTTGGTAATAATTGTATTAAACGGCATGTCCATTAAAGAGGAAATCAAGCAGCACAAATAAAGGAAAATTTCCAGAAACAATTTCTAAAACTATCGGATGTTGCTAGCTGCGTAGGTATTGAGTTATCAGGTTCTGACTACCCAGAAAAAAGCTAAGCATTGCAGTATTTTCACGGGTCATTGCTTTCTTAACAAACACCAATTCTTATTCAGTTTTTGTTCACATGCAGGATCTACAAACTGCTTGATAAAATAATATCCATCACCAGATAATCAATGCGATGACTCTTGGAGCTGTCTTCTACGTGAAATGACTAGGCTTGATATAAAGCTGAGGGTTTCTTACGTTCCAATTTCGACCGTATGTCATGCTTGCAGTAAAGTAACAGACATTACCTGTGTATCTATCATTTATTTCCTGGTAATTCAATTCCAGTGTGTCTGGCACTTTGCTTTAAACCAATCTTAATTTATGATTTTGATTGCATTCTTCTTTCTCCCGGGGAAGTTGAACTAGTCATTCGTTACAGATACTGCTCTTATGCTCTATAATAAATTTGGATACTGCTAATTATGAAAATTTAAATTTTCACTTCACAGAAAAATATTAATATATTAACACTAAAGTTATGCAATAACAGAAAAATCAGTATAGTAAAGGGAAAAAAAAACTTAAATTTAAAATTAAATTGCGTTAAATATTTCAGATGTCGAATGAATTTATTTGAGGACTTGATCTGTTCAGCCAAAATAAGTTCCATGGTTTCAACAGAATGGCACATGAAGTGTTACACCCAAGGAGTTGTGCAATTTTGACTAGCTATAACCTCGACATGCCCAATTTTCAAACACTCAGGGTCGCTACTAATAAATAAAAAAAAAAGATTCAGAGAGAATTACCTTTTCCCGGCTAGAGACCCGAGCTCCAGTACGGAAAGAAATAGGAAAAGGGAATAAAAAAATTGCGAATATGTGTTGTTTAAGAAAAAAAAAATATGTTAAGGGGAATTTATCATTTAATTCTCGGCCTAGCCGCGGCACAGCAGAATTGATGGAAAATTCCGGGTCAAAAGTAACCTAGGTAAATATAAAACGGCGGATAAGGGCTCAAATAGGTCAAATAAATATAACCTGGAGGGTACTATGCCAGACGGTGAATAACCGATAAAAAAATGGCGGTGCACGTGTCTTTATTATTCCCATGAACGTGGATAAGAAGAAAAGAAGCTTCCAAACTAGACTGTAAACAGGTACAGCACCCGACCTCCACAATATTTGGTTCTACTGGGAAAACTAGATCCTTGACAACAAAAGTTTTTCTCCAGAACCAACAGGCACAAGAATAAGCGTTTACAGCGAACAACTTGCAGAAAGAAGAACAGGTATCCCATAGGAACGAACATACTCTGCGATCAGCGGGACTATACTTAAAGGTGGGGCGTAGTGGCTCTCGCAATCCTTACTGGCTTTTAAATGACAAGCACACAAAAGACTTAAAAAAGTATCAGGAAAATTGCGCAATCGCAGAGTAAAAGAAGAAGAAAATCTAACCAGCCTCCCATAAATTTAGTATTCCATTATGCGGTTAATATCGTTGGTGCAAACTAGCGTTCATGTTGCTGGTACTAGGCTCAAAACCCTAAGCGCACTGCACTGACGCGACAAATCGTGATAATCGTGAACTTGGGCGCATGTCGATGATAGGTGAGAGCTGCTAATATTCCAAGGAAAACATTTTTCCCTATCCAACGCTCTAGAATGTTAATGTCTGGTCTGAAACAGTAGTGGAGGCCAATCGAGGACCAAATAACCAGGATATTGTAAAACACGAGCCCAAAATCGCCAACAAAAAGGGAAGTAACTCAATTGATTGTTTACAATTTTAGTGGAATCTCAAGCCGAACGACCAATAGAAAATGCATACCGCGCACGATAAGACACCCCTAGAGTGACCCTAAAAATGTGAAAAATACCAACAATTACAGGTAAAGAAAAAACAAGGATGTATTACAAAAAGGATAGGACGAAATGCTTCTGCGCATTCACCATTTTTGATTCACCAATTTTGAAGAGTTTAGTGTTTCCTCATTCATTGCAACAATAAAAAAAGAAAGCCCAATGACATCCGTGACGATTGTAAAGTTCTTTACAATATTGGGTGAAACACTAACAAACAAGTTGGTTTTAGAGAAAACAATTAGTTGTGTTCGTCAAACTAGTGTCTCCGAAACCTGTAATCATGCGTAATATTGACGGCCCGGTTGTATTTAGTATCCGCATTATTAGAAAACCACTATTTCTCAAAGAATAATCTCGATTGAAACAAATTTTAACGTAACGTATGTTGTGCATGTGAAGAAACTTTAATTAATCATATAATTCCATTAACGAAAACCGTTCAAATAATTTCAAATTTCAATTTCAAATAATTTACAACATTTATGCAGAGAAGGCAATTTATCGATTTTTGCCCACAACCGGTACAGGTTGTACAGCATTAACAAACGGTTTCTTTCAAGTTATTGCTCAAACCTCGTGCATGTTTTAGTTCAACCATTTCTTCTATCGGACTTACCTGCTGTTTAAAAAAAAATTAAAACTCCAGTGCTATTTTGTTGTATGTTAATTGTTTGCTTGAGAAATATATGTAATTATCTACGCTCAATATCCGTACTATATTTGTTTGGTTACAGCCGAATGAAACCAGTATTAGTTCTTCATGATAGAGGTGTATATATAACCCAGCTTCAGTCTCTGTTTCCATGTTTCCCATTAATATTCGCCGACATTGCCGCTTCCAGATCCATCACCCCCATCCAACCGATGTGCACCCTTAGAGGCCTCTGACACCGCATCATCATTATGTCGTAGCCTGATCCTGATCTTACTAGTTGCTGCTACGACGATTGATCACAATCACCTCCATTATGATTTGTTGCACTTACCGCTGTGATCTGGAGGATCACCATCGCGAATGTAGCCGAGCAAAGTGTATAATCTATCATCACTATGTATTTGAGTGATTCGCTGAACTCGACGGTGTATCTAAAATCAGTTTTCATTCCAAAGCACCACCTGAGATTTAAGAACAGTAAACCAGGGGAGGAAGTCACTTTTAGCTCGCCAGATCTAGTGATTTGCTTTTTACACGGTGCCGTGGAATAGCAGTTCAGCCCTGTGAAGTTCACAATTATCAAAACGACAGAAAAATAATCAAAATATTTTGGTTTGGTTTCCCTTCAAGTTCATCCTTTTTACGTGAGAGTATTCCTCTTCACCTTACGAAGTCTTACACAACACATTGTTGCCTCATATTAGTCTTTCTGGTTCGGTAAAATCTTGTTTTTCCCATTTAAGTCAGGAGGGTCATCATGTTTTATCCTCGTTTCGTTGGTCTCTTCTCCGTACGTCGTGATCGGCCTGATACAGGTCTTAGAGATTTTAACTTTGCAGTCCCTATTCATACCATGCTGTGCTATGCCATGGGAAAGAAGAACTCTGTCAAATGCCTTGTTCAGATCGATGAAGCACAAATACGCTGGTATATTAAATTCGATTTCGACTAGAGATTCATGTTTATTATTTGTGTTTCAAGTCTTCCAAGATGCCAGTGAAGAGTTTCATTTAAACTGTTAAACTGTCAAGCATATTGTCTATTATGTTTATGATTGGTAGGAAATAGATTTTGGGCGTCAAAACAAACTGGAATTGCCTTAGGAGAAATTTTAATGTCTTTAACCTGGTTTAAAGCCAATATGATATTCCAAATTGTTTATTAATCTTGTTGAAAGTTTAACAGATGTGCTGTTACAAGAGAAACGACAGGCCTAATTGGCATATCCTGTTTGTGTAATTTAATTAAAGAATATAATTTTGGAAAATGGGGTTCATTATTATTAGTTGGGGATTCATAATTTTTAGTTGGTATTTTCATCTGTCATTAAATCTGTAATTATAATTTTGACTGGTTTTTGAGTTTTTCACAGTTATTTATTGGTTTATGGCAGCTGTTTCGAAAACACACTGCCTTTATCAAATATAACATATGTAACGCAAAGTAAATTTTTGTTTTTAATTTAACAATGAAGACACATTTAGATTAGATTCGAATATCTCATTTTGTAAATCTCCATGGCTTCTAACAAATTTAGTTTTTGATTAATGATTAATTATGTATAATATCTAAATTATCGTCAAACTTTTTACATTTCTAAATTTAAATGAATGGCATGGTTAGAATCTGAACTTTTATTTATATAAGCTGTTTTATGTTGGTAAATGCATTTCTTCTTCGTTAACCGTTGTTCTTCTGTTTGTTCGGTTTTTGAGGTTTTCGTAATTTATTTTTATTTTTTTTTTATTAATTAAGTTTCAAAAGCGATCTTGAGGCCAAATTTAAATATACATTTGATACTTCTTTTTTTTATTACATTTTCGCGACTTTTCTACCCTAAATAACTGATTTCCATCATTTACTTTACTAGCTATATTGAGTTAAAATTTGACAAAAAAAATAACTTTAGGGCATTAATTTGTACTGTGGTGAGGACGTTCATTTTACTTCCCTAATTTGCAGACAAACGGGCCAATCATTTTCTGATAATCGAGGTGTAGGATTAGCCCAATTTCAACCTCTGAAAGTTTTAAACTATATTTTGTTAGCAATAAAGTTTTCACTGTGTATGTTTATCCATAATCCCGCTTCCAAATCCATTACCCCCAACCAGCCGATACGCAAACACAGAGGCCTCTGACTGACACAGCATCATCATTATGTGGATCCACACTTTCGCAGCTCGATCTTAATCGTACCACTCACTTTTATAAAGCGCTGTCCCCAGCTCGGTGCTCTAAGGATTCCCGGATATTCACAAAATTGGAAAATAATCACTCACAACTACCTGCACGATAATCTCGTTGCAGTTCCACGCAAAGGTGATTAGCTGGAGAATGGTGAGCGTTAATATGGTGACAGTGAGTTCTTTTCCCTGTATCAAGAAACTACTCATAGTCTGGATGATCGGCACCGCGAATGTGACCGATGACACTCTATAATCCAGCAGAACTATATGTTTTGACGATTTGCTGAACTCTATAGTACATCTAAAATAAAATTCGCTGGGGATCTCGAGAAAACCACTACTGCTAGCACTCACTCTATCAAGAGTTGATGTCTCACGCACAACAACCTCAGGCTGTCGAGTGCTTCCTCCGGCGGCTGGTGAAGGTGCCCGAAGTAGTGCTGCAGCACTTTTAACTGTAATCTGACGAATATCGCTGGCGAGTTGAGCGAAGCGGTAGTGACACCGATACAAAAACAACCGATCATAGGTCTGAGATTTTGATCCACCAAGGCTAACGTGTTATGGTTTTGTGTGTCGAAAGGGTACTCGGACCTGACGGGCTGCTCTTTCTCGGTAATATTTCCATTTTCCGGCGAATTGATGAATCGATATGAGGTTGTCATTCCTAAAATATACTCGACATCATTTTATTGCCTTTTTAAGGACTAATAATGATTATTACAGTAAAATCGTGGACTTAGATCACTTACTCAAAAGGAAATGAATAATTTTAATTTACTATGCAAAGGATCATGAATGCATACTATGCAATTCTAGGTGCTGTCACCACACAAAAAGAACTGAAACTAAAACAAAATTTTGACTGTAGTTCGGAAAATTTCTTATGACCATAGAAACTTTTTCATACTTGACATAAATATAAAGTCCCCTTCCAGCCTAAGACTAGTATAATAAAAATTTCTGTTCCATTTGTTATTAAAGGGATGTGCCCATTGATAACTGACTCCTTTGAAAATGGCGTTATCCCAGATCAACTTAAAATGGAATTTATATAACCACTCTACAAAAAGGGAGATCCAGAAATAATTCCCAATTACCGGCAGATTAGAATTTGGCCCGGATTTTCCAAAAATATTTGAGATAGCTATTTGCGAAAGATTCATAGTTTTTTTATAAGTCTAAACTACGGTACAATCATCAGCATGGGTATTTAGGAAATAAATCAACATAAACCAATATATATCAATTTATAAAAACAATTTTAAAACACTTGGAGGAAGGAATAATAGCTTTAGGCGAGTGGTTAGATCTTTCTAGAGCATACGATTGTATAGATAAGGATTTATTGATCAAAAAATTGGATTTATAAGGTATAAGAGGTGATGGCTACAATTTTTTGAATCATACTTATTATAAAAAGTTTCCTTCCAACTTCTGACATGTTTTTCGTCTTTTACATCATTCCTGATATGTAATCTTTACGGTAGTGGACGGATAGGATCAGAGATCAGCTCAAGTTTCAAATAAGCGGGATAGAGGGATAAGTGTCCCTATATCAAAATTCTAGTTCCTAGTGCATTAAAAGAAGCGTTGGGATATTCCAATTCTTTCTTACAATAAAGGGAGAAAAGTAACAATTTTAGATGCCAAATCAGAAAACCTATGGGTGTCAAATGCCTTCTGACAGCTGTTAAACCACTACAGACTAATAGCGCTATAGTAATGGACTTATCAACGCTTATTAAATTTGTCTTGGATGGATAACGTAACCAGCTAGGACTTATTAAGAAGAATAAATGCAACCTTGGTTGCAACAAACGACCAGATTCCAGTGGCTGCAACTAATTTTTGAAGTGAAAAAATAAAGGGTAGTGGAGGAGTTTGAAGAAAGCAACATATATGAGAAAGTGGCGTGTCCAGACTTACCTACAGCAGAGATGGTAACCGATATGATAACCGCAGAAAAGACAAGGACGAACACAAACTTGTGATTGTACCTCACGTGATGTTGATACAACCTACGGATAGCGAAATCGGCGAGTGAGGCAGCCTGTATATGCGCGTGTTGTTCCAACATGATGCCAAGCAGGTAGACCATCCTTTTAGATTGCCAGGCGATCATCTTGATGATTATGACCATGAACACGGTGAATCTATTGCCGTTGTCCATGGCTGCAACGGAAACGCATATCAGGGATCATACTTTTTTTTGAGGCACTCACAGGCCATCACTTCAGACTTTGCTAACGATGGTATTTCGGCAAGTATCGAAAAAGCCACCGAATAACATAATAATTGGAACGACACCGAGTAGACTTGATAGATCCGTTTCCGGAATACCGAATCGTCTGGGCTTTCCACTTTCCAGATGCCGATCACCATCATCAGTCTCCTGACGTGCTTGAAATAGTCAATCTTCATGATTGAAGGGGTGTGAAACTCGCCACCTTTATATATTACTTGGGGGTTGATCATCAGCGGCGTCGCACGCTGGGTAAAAGTATATGTCTCCCCAAAAAGCGATTCAAGGTTTTCTACAAATGGAGGTAGATCATTTCTCATCGTTATTATCATTAAATTATACAGGGCTAGTCGGAACTTGCTGTGCATAATGACCTCGTCACATTACGCTTTCCATGGAAATTTTGCAAATAAATGCGGCATTCAGGCGGAAACAAGTAGTGCACCATTACCACCCCAAATTTAATCAATGTACTGTCTTCAAAGGGGTGTATATTTTGCATATTTTTTTCTCTCGTTTATTTGGGATAACAGTTGCAGCTTTTGAGATATTAATAAATTAAAAGTTGATTTAAAACTGACGATAATAAAAGATTTTTTTTTTCTTTTAGTGTTGCATTTTTATATGAAAGCTCCATGCATAAAAAAACTTTCATACAATACGGAAAAAGGCAAGTACACAAATTTTTAAAATTTAATATTTTATTAAACGAAATAAATTTTCAATACCACAGGCGCCGGTCGACGAAATTTGGAGTTGACAAGGTTTAGCGTAAATAAACAAATTCGTTCCGCTACTGGATATCTTGTCATCGATTGCGTATAGGTAATCGGAAAACGTTTTCAGGAGATCTATAATTATCGATTGTAGGTATCGCTTTGCAGTCGGGAATTGTATTTGTATTCGCCGTGAAGTTTGTGGGTGGACAGTTCCTTACGTAGGGAATTTGTAATAATGTAGGTGTCAAATGTAAGGTTAATTAAGGTTAAGCAGAGACAATTCGTGTGTGTACGTCGCATTGTGCGGAAAAGTTACCGAATTAGGCTACCCTGAGGAGTGGTTTCAACCGCTACAGCGCAATCCAAAGAACTTGTTGACGAACCCAGAGAAGACTCTCGTAAGCAGTGCAACAAAGGATCAGGGAAGGAAAAGCCGTAAGTGCGATTTTTTCCTTTCGCCCCTTTAAGATCCTCCGTTAAGGCTTTTAATAGGGATGAATTTAGGCAAGACGTATCGGACGTCAAGTAGTTAGGAAAACATTTTTTTTTAAATCGATCAATTTTTGATGTTAAATTGTGAATCAGGAACAAGCTGCGAATATTTCAAAGCATTAAGTAGTGACGTAGAATCTAAAATTAGTGAAATTTTCAAAAATCTAACCTTTAGTGAAAGGAAAATATCAGAAAAAATGACAGACCAAGTAAATTGGAATTTATTTAAATCAAAATTGCAAAACATTCAACCTTACGAAAGTGATAGCAATACCTTAAATAAGTTTATCAACAGATGCGAAAGCTTAATTAATAGTTACGCTTCCCTTGCAAATTCGGAATTAAATAAACATATTTTTGAATGTATCCAGAAAAAACTGGTAGGCAGAGCCCCAGTTCTAGTAGGTAATCGAACAGAAATTAGTGATTGGAAAGCATTGAAAGACGCATTGACTCAATGTTTTTCCGATCGCCGAGATCTGAATTGTTTAATCCAAGAATTAGTTAGGACTAGGCCCAATAAAAATGAGCACTTGATAAATTTTGGAAGTAGACTTCAATTATTAAGGAGCGACATTGCACAGCGTATAAGTAACGAGTCTAAATATACACCGGAAGAAAAGCTTTCATATATTAAACATTATGATCAAACCCCCCTAAATTCATTTATCGCAGGGTGCACAGGCGTCTTAAAAAACACTATGCATGGCATATATAAATGAATTCGAAAATTTTGAAAGATTGTATGGGACTCTGAACGGGCCTTATAAATCTCAAAAACCGAACTTCCAAAATTTAAACAGTGCACCGACAAATCAACATCTTCAAATTTTTTATCAAAGACCGTTTAGCAATAATGCGTTTGTACCACCCAATCTTGCTCAATTTCCAAATCAGCAATTTAGTAACCCCGCACAACAACCTTTTAATCAAAATTGCTTTAAGCCCCCACAAAAAATGTTTCCAACTGGCCCAGTTGACGTAAGGCCCAGACAGCTACCCCCTCAAAAATACTTTACCAACAGTCAAGTTTTAGGTAAACCAACAAATGTATTTAAGCCCGGAGAAACAAACCCACGCGATTTGCCCAAACCTGAACCTATGTCGACAACGTCTAGGACACCTTCCATAAGACGAGACCAATATCGAAACCAAAACGACTATTTCCGATCGAACCCAAACACGCGAAATAACTTTGTCTTTGAAGAATTACATTCAAATGACGTGACGAACTTCGGCAACCAAGATTCTGAGGATAAGCTAGATTATTTTGACCCGCGTTTTGAAAATAATTTTCCTTAAGAATATTTTGAATCAATACAATGTCAATTAGAAAATCAAAGCAATCAACACTTAGATGTATCCCAAAATTTTTGCGAAACCAGTCAAGAAGAAACCCCAACTTAATTGAAATAAACGTATCTTCGTATAACCCCCTTCATTACTTGCAAATTAACTCTATAAATATTAAATTATTAATAGACACTGGTAGTAATAGATCAGTGTTACAACCTATTATTGCTGAACAATATTTTTCGAATTGTATTTATAATGCACAAAATACTATAAAAACAGCCGTATGCAGCCAAAACACTCAATTTGAAGCTACTATAGCTTTACCTACTTACAGAGTTTGGTATCGATTACGAAATCGATTTTATCCTTTTCGATTTTCACGACTTTTTCGATGGCGTTATTGGATTAACTGATTTGATGAAAATGAATTTAAATATTGACTTAAATACCAAAATACTTTCGAATAAAACAATTCAAATTCCTTTTAACTTCCGCGAACCCGCAGATTCAAAATTTTCATTTTCGATACACTCTCATGAGAAAATTATTAAGAATTTGCCAGCTAGCATTTTTGAAGGCGATATTTTAGTACCACCTACTGAAATAAATAACTTGTTTATTCCTAGAACCCTATCCCACGCGAGAAACGGATTCGCAGCCGTTGAAATACAAAACCACACCGATAAAACCATTAACACGACCTTGTTGCAACCAATTCCCGTAGAATCGTTTATACAGGAAGCATTCGAAATATATTCTTTCGAAACCATAAAAAAATTCGATAAAAATTAATATTTTCAAAATTCTCCCTCAAAAATCGATATAACCAAATTAATACGGCTATCCCACATAAACTCAGAAGAGCAGCAATCAATCACTGAATTATGCAGCGAATTTAAAGACATTTTTTATAAACTAGGCGACGCGCTATCATTTACATCCAAAATTCGACACGAGATAAAAACCACTGACGAAGTTCCGGTACACACAAAATCATATCGTTACCCGTACGCCCACAAAGAGGAAATAAGGACACAAATAAATGAAATGTTAGGGAAAGGTATAATCCGACCTTCAACGAACCCTTGGAGCTCTCCCGTTTGGATCGTTCCAAAAAAAAATCGATGCCTCAAACGTACAAAAGTGGCGCGTAGTAATAGATTATCGTAAATTAAACCTTAAAACAATCAACGATCGATACCCCATTCCAATTCTGATGTACTAGATAAGTTAGGACGATCACAATACTTTTCGGCTTTAGACCTAGCGAGCGGTTTTCACCAGATCGAGATGGCACAAAATTCGATAGAAAACACAGCGTTTTCCGTGGAAAACGGACATTATGAATATCTACGAATGCCATTTGGCTTGAAAAATGCGCCGAGTACTTTTCAACGCGTTATGGACGAGGTCCTTAAAGATTTTCAGAATAAAATTTGTATGGTCTATATGGAAGACATAATTTTTTTTAGTACAAGCTTGCAGGAACACATTCAAAATTTGCGCCTTGTATTTTCGAAATTACGCAATGCAAAATTAAAAATTCAACTGGACAAATGCGAGTTCCTAAGAAAAGAAATCGAATTTTTAGGGCACGTAGTAACGCCAGAAGGCATCAAACCAAACCCGAAAAAGATCGAGGCCATTCAAAAATTCACGATACCCGTACACAAAAAGAAATTAAACAATTTTTAGGCTTGCTCGGATACTATCGTAAATTTATACAAAATTTTGCGAAGATGACCAAACCATTAACTCAATGCCTAAAGAAAAACCAGAAAGTAATACACTCTAAAGAATTTGTGGATTGTTTCCGACATTGTAAAAATATACTAACATCAGTACCCCGATTTTACCAAACCTTTGGAATTAACAATATTATTGTTATTATATTTTTTCTAGCGGTCATTGAAGCCCTAATGATTGTTTTTATAAAGAAACTTCTACCGAAATGTCCACATAATCAATCTGAACCCAATAAATCCAATCAGCCGGAGCAAACTCATTCCATTATGTTTGCTTCTTGAGGAGGGAGGAGTTATGTACAATGATTTCTACGTAATAAGGATAGCACATCGTGAGATCTACGATGTCAGCATTTGGCCACGATGGTACTATGAAGAGACCGTGAGATTCACATTGTCAGCTTTTCGTATACGAACCTATAAAGTCTTAGTTTTAAGTAATATGATTATTCTTGTTGTAACTGCTGCTGCAGAAACTCTTAATTTTCGATTGTATTTTGAAAACAAAGTTTTTAAAAAGTCATCTCGTCTTCGCTTGAACATAATTAGAGCGAGTGTTTAATAAACGAGTGACTTAAAAAGTTTACCGAATATGTTGCATAATATACTTTTTATACGACCGTTAGTTTTTGGGTACATTTTCGCAAAACAACACGAACACATTCACTGTCATGACCGTCAGAATTGACAAACGTCAAAATTCAAAGCGAAGAAAATATCTCCGAAAACATCCGATTGCAGCCAAATAAAAAATCCTGGAAATGTTCGAAGTGGTTCGGATTCGTGGGAAACGAAACTGACGCTTCCCGTACGCTAGATCGGTGTGTAATTGGGTATTTTGCAGAGTGCAGTAGAAAAAAATCTAAACTGCATCATCATGTAAGGAAAGTAGGAGTTTTAGAATTATGAGAAGACAGTTACTCCCATGTTTTTAACATTTTATTTGGCGTTTTTTCTTAAAGTATATATAGCTCTTTAATTTGTATTATGTATAATAGATCTGTTGAATAACGACCAGTGAAGATTAAAAAGATTAAATAAGAAAAAAGTTATACATTTTTAATGTAGAATCGGATTTTTTCCACTTTCCACTTTTGTGCGTGTGTGTGATAAAATAATTAATTAGATTATTTATTATTATTGTGTCACGCATTTTTCCGACATTTTTCAAATGGCAGGCTGCGAACTACGATGTATAAAGAAAAAGGTATAATGCTTTTTTCTCTTTGGTCCACTTTTTTTTATGATTTATATTAATGACCTTTTTAAGGTGATGGGTTTTTAATCTGAGGCTGATACTTAGTTAAAAGACAAAATGCAAGTTTATTTTATAGAATACGTAGAGTGGTTTAATAACAACTCACTTAGCATAAGCTTCACAAAAGCTGTTTTAATGCCTTTTAGTAGCTGTAGCAATAAATTACCAATATATGATACCCTTACATATGAAGTTAGCTCTAGCAGATTTTTAGAATTTTAGCAACAACACAAATTTTTAATGACTAAGATATGCTCGATGCAAGACAACTCTATATTTAAAAAATAGCAGTCCAAATCTTTTTACATGAAATTCCTCTCAGAAATTTTGAACATCCTTACTCAACCAGAAACAGAATAAACCAAACCACTATCAAACCTAAGGTCTAAAAAAATTAAAAACTTTTATTAAAACTGAAATAACTAGACATGAAATCCATAGTATAAGAGAATTGAAGAACAATTAATAATGTAAAATTTCGAATTTGATACATTTATCCATTATTTGCTTATGATTCTAATTTTTATATCTACATTTACTTTGTATGCTTAGTAGGTTGAAACTAGTAATCTAAGAGTTATTATTTATTTACTAGGGACAAAATCCAGAATTATTAATTTTCTTTCTTTCTTTTTTTCAGTTTTTTTTTTTTGGTTCTACCAATGTTTGTAAAAAAATGCCTCCAATACTAGATTTGGTATAACTTTTAGTTGTCCAAGTAGTTTATAGTTTAGCTAATAGTATCTTGGGGAAGTATTCAGTACGTATGGTCTTTTTTCAACCTGCGATTTTACTATTGTGGAATGAAAACTGTATTTATTATCTTCGTTGTATGTATTAAAAAATAAATTTTATATATGATGTATAATGATGTACAGAAAATTTTAAACCCAAATTTCTCGAAATTTAAAAGATATAGGTTTTTTATGTAAAAAAGGTGTTAGAAGTCATATTTTTATTAAAAATCTGCATGTGCTAAATTAGGAAGTATCAAATTCTAATCAGCATTCTCTGTCCTTTGTTATTTCTTCTTGCTCCCCCACTGGCATTCTTTTTCGCCATTTCACATCGTTTTCGATACCAAAACTACAAAACAGTTTTTTATATTTAACTCTATTTGAAGCCATTTAGCAAATATTCATAAGTTTCTAAATAAATCTATGTAGATTTTAATAGGAAAAAAAATAAAATGTTTGTTTTTTTTTGTATAATATTCCGGATAATATATCTGATGCACCCAGTGCGAATTAAAAAGCTTATTAATAAAAATAGAAATATATAAAATAATAAACAAGTGAAGGTGTCTGCGGGCTACCACAAAAGTAATGTGGCGGGGTATGTATACGAATGGATACATTATTTAAAAGCGCATTCGCCAGCTCTGTGCTCTGAAAATTCCTTACCACTTTCATTATTCTACCGTGACTGCTCGCAATGACCTGCACTATTATCTCGTCATCAGATGAAACATCCTTGGGAAACTTTACTTTTAGAAAAACCGATATAACCGAGTTTAAATTTCAGTCAGCCGAATAAAATGTGGGATAACTTGTACAGGATATTTCTTAGTATATGAGCAAAGTTTAATTGGTGATTTGGTAGGTCATGTGGTGCGCGATTAACAGTGAAGTGCGGCAACAAGGGATATTTGCAATCCCCGGTTAAGAAGTCGGTTCGGGAAGGGGGGGGACGGGCGGAAGACGTTCCACAGGACGGAGTTCCTGGGGTTAAAGAAAGTCCCGTGATTATTATTGTTTCTTTAGAAATTTGTAGTGTTACGTTCAGTAAAAGTTTGGTAGTTTTCAAATTTTGTGCCTTATTTACCACCGTAGAACCCACGACACACTCTCGGAGGTCCGAGAGCATCTCATTTGGCGCTCAACTAGTGGCACGAGTGGTTAAAGGAAGGCATTTGAAAGCTGTGAGTACATTTTATACACCATCGTTTTCGTTCCGGCACGAGTCTCCATCGCCGTTGATCAGCGACAGCGTATGCGAGGCGGCGTTATAGCGCACATCAAAGGCACGGCTGTCGACGCGACGCGACGCGCAGTTCAGACGGAGAGGCGAGACGATTTCGTAAAGCGTTGGGATTGGTCCGTATATTTCTGCGGAACTAATTTAAACTTTTTCGGGTTGTTTTGAAAATTGTGTATCTATACGTTGATATTTATATATACCAACTTGATTCTTTCTTACCGTTAATAATTTATGTAAGATACATTTTGGGTTGCGTCATAAATAACTAAGTGGTTGTTTGAAAGGAAAATTTTTATACTGTTTACTTCAAAATGCCTTATGAAAAGAAATGTAATAAACAACAAAGTGGAAAAATAGATGACGATGATTTCGAATCGGCTGAGTTTAGGACTCCAAAATCGAGTTTGGAAGATGTCGTGAGCAAATTGGTAAAATGGTAAAATGGTAAAATGGCATGAAACAAATGCAAGTTAGTATGGCGCAGTTGGCCGACGCGGTGGCAAATTCTGTTAAAAAATCACAAGTTGCGACTAACGACAAAGATTACATATCTTTGT